ATCACTGTAGTTCTAGAACATTCCATCAGCCCAAAAAGAAGCCCCATCCCCATCAGCAGTCACTCCTAATCCCCTCCCCAGGCCCTGACAACCACGAACCCACTTTCTGTCTGTGGATGTGCCTGTTCTGGACATTTCACATCAATGGAATCACACACCGTGTGTCCCTCTGTGTCTGGTTCTCGCTGAGCGTCGTGTGTTCAGGGTCCATCCACGGTGCGGCTGTGTCAGGGCCTCGCTCCTTCTCATGGCCGAGGAGTCTGCCGTCTGGATATACTTGCTGCTTTGTGAGAGATCCAGGTTGGACCGAGGAGGTGGAGCTCTCGCTCCTTCCTCCCTGTCCCTGAGAAGTCCCGGGGACAGACCGGCTGTTTCCTTTAGAAATGCTCTCGGCCTCTGATGGGATGCCTGCTTCGGTCAGCCGCCACTGCGTGACAAACCGCCCCAGAGCCTGGTGGCTGCAGACAGTGACTCCTCTGGTGGCCCTGCACCCGGGGGCCGGCCCTCCCCCGTGCTCTCCTCCGGGTCGGTCACGCGGCCGTGGCCCTCGGGTGGCATGAAATCCAGGAGCTTCCGCACTCGGGTACGGCGCCTCGGCTGGGGGCTGCCGCCCCTCTGCCGCGGTCTCTCCAGCAGGGACTCCGCCAGGGACCTTGTGCCTCAGTGTGTCTCAGCGGGCGGGTCAGAAGCGGCCAGCCTTCCTCAAGCCGCCTGGCCCTTCGTCGTGGTCTGTAGCGCAGACCAGGTCACGTGGCTGCAGAGCACTGGCTGCAGGAGTCCGCCCTGCGGTGCAGAAGAGTACGTCCAGGGTGGCTTGTGAGCGTCCTGCCCGCCCGGCTCCTGGAGGGTGGGCACTGCCCTCGGAGGGTCCCCAGCTCCCTGCCCTGACCCCCTGCAGGGCTCTGCTCCCGGGGTCAGAAGTCTGCACAGCGGGAGGCCAGACCATCCCAGCTGCTCAGGGAGGTGAGCGTCCCTGGGCCTGCACCGCTTCCCGTCTGCCCCATCCTCGTACTCGCTGGTTTGCTCCGAGTCACGGGAGCCAGGCCCCGGCGTGGGCACCAGGTGGTCGATGCTCTGGGCAGTGGCCCCACGTCCTGGGGGCACAGCCCCTTCTGCCCCTTTCCAGAGCTCTGCAGGTGGCTGTCACGGTGACACAGCAGACCTGGGCGCCTGTAGTGGGGAAGATGCAACACATAAGCACCAGGGAGGTAGGGAGAGTGATCTCAGAGGGACTGTTTTGGGCCAAGTGGTGGGGGGATGGCCTCTCAGAGGGGGTGACGTTTGAGCCAGGTCCTGGGTGAAACAGAGGAGCAAACCCAGCAGGGATCTTGGGAAGGGCGTTTCAGGTGGTGGGGGTGGGGGAGGAGGACAGCCTGTGCAAAGGCCCTGGGGCAGGACCGGGCCTGGCGTGTTGGAGGAACAGCAAGGAGGTCCGTGTGGCTGGAGCAGAGGGAGCGAGGGGGAGAGAGGGAGGAGGGAGGGTAGGGAGGGGATGGGGCAGGTTGTGCGGGGCCTGGGGGGTGGCGGGGAGGATGTGGGCTTCTCCGCCCAGGGAGGCGGGAGCCCTGGAGGGCTGTGAGCAGAGGAGGGAGACCTGACTCGGGGGCTCACGGGTGCCCTCTGGTGGGGGCTGCGGGGAGGACGGACTGTGGGGGCGAGGATGGGAGCCGGGGACCAGGGTAGAGGAGACTGGGCCGGTCCAGGGGGGCGACGATGGGGCTGAGAGGAGCAGGGAGCAGTGGACAGGTTCTGGACAGACTCTGAAGGTCGAGCCGGATGATTGTGCTGCAGGACAGACGGTAAGGCCCCCTCCCTGGGTCCTGGGGGCCCACATCTTTCAGGAGCCTCCCCTGCCTCAGTTTCCTCATCAGACAAACGTGGAGAAGACGCTGCTGTTGAGGCTTGTCTGTGTGCGGAGGGGCGAGGACCGGGTGTGTGTGTCCATCCGTCAGTCAGTCAACAAGTGCGTGTAGGCGTCTGCTAAGGGCAGGCCCGCAGCACAGCTGTGCCTGGGGCGGGTCTGGCCTGATGGATGACTCGGCTGCGTGGGGCCTGCCCTCCCTGCTCTGCAGCGTCACACTCCCCCTCCCCGGGCTATTTTTAACACTTAATTTCCTCGAAACCCTGCTGGCTCATTCAGAAGGTGACTGCTCACGTCTGGGCTGGGAGGACTCCACATCTTGGCGTGGTCTCTGGGGGGCACAGTGCAGGGATGCGCCCGCCACCTGCTGCAGCCCGTGACCTCGTGCAGCACACTCGCCCCTGAGTGGCCATCCGTCCTCTGAAGACGCGAGAAGGCCCAGGGCCCCGGGTTTGGCGAGGGCAACAGGGTGGCTGCCCCCACGGGCGTTCCTCTGCGGTGGTGCAGACGGAGGAGGTTCAAAGGGGAACTTCAGAGAGTGATCAGGGCATGCAGAACCGGGGGACATGACAGGACGGGGAGGTGACCAGGGAGGCCCCTCGGAGGGGACGCTGGGCTGAGACTCAGGTTGAGGAGTCGCCTCGGGGAGATCTGTGGAGGGTGTTCCGGGCAGAGCGAACGGCACGTGCCAAGGCCCTGAGGCAGGACCGCACCTTCCCAGTGTGCGCATCTGTGCCCTGCGCCACTCACTGTGAGCGCGTCACTCACTGTGAGCTGTCCCCACGGCCCCAGGCCCTGCCCTCCCCTCCTCCCGTGCTCTGCTCCGGCCACAGGCCTGGGAGCCACCGTGCCCCCGCCACCCCCGCCCTGTGTCCCTGGGCCTGTGGAGCCTTCCTGCGCCCCGTCCAGGGATGACCCCGCGGCAGGGCGGGGGCTGCCCCTCATCAGCCAGCGTGTGAGTCAGGCAGGAGCCGGGGACTGAGATCGGGCCGAGGCCCAGCGGGGTGGCCCTGCGGGGTCTGGTGTGGTCAGTGCACCTGGTGTCCAGGAGGCTGCAGACGCCTCGAGAGGAGCAGGAGCAGGGGCCGCACGGGGGCAGTGTGTGTGGGGGGTCAGGACCCGGGTGCTGGACCCGCTCTGGCAGAAAGCCCTGGAATGAAGGGCTGGGGGCACAGAGGACGCAGGTGGGCACAGCCGGGTGGGCTCTGGGCCCTAGGGACCCAGGCGGCCGAGGAGGAGGACACCCTGGGCAGCCGACACAAGTCTCCGACTCCAGGGCCCCCAAATGAGGTCTAGAATGTTCCGCCCTGGTCTACCGCCGGCTTCCTGCCTTCACTCCTCTTCCTTCCCCAACACCCCACACCCCACACCATGAATTGTTCTGCTGTTGGGCGGCCAACGAAAATATTATGTCAGCCTTCCAGCACCTTCCGCCACCGGCTTGCTATCGGCCGGGCTTTGGGATGGGCTGAAGCCCAAGTTCGCCTGCAGCCAGGGTGCCCGGGCCGGGAGCCCCCACGTCTGCCGTGGGCACACGTGGCCCCGCGTGACCCCCCTGTGGCTGGTGTGGCTCATCAGCGGCCTTCCCGGGCCCCGGGCAGGTGACCTGGCCTCGGGCTGTCCTCTGGGCTGTGGTCCCTCTGGTGGCCCTGTGGCTGTGACCGTGGCCTCGGGCGGCCACCCCCAGCCTCAGTTTCCCTATCTGGACCATCTCCTGGGGGTCTGGCCAGCGGTGCCTGCACAGGTGGACGCTCGGGGCGGCGGTTAGGGCAGAGAAGATGGGTCCCTGCCGCCTGGCCACACCCGCGCTCAGGGTCGTCTGCGTTTGTGTTTGTTTTTTTATTGAGAAATAATTCATACTGTGTAAAATCCACACTTTGAGGTGTGCAATTCAGTGTTTTTCGTATCTTCACAATGTTGTGTGCTTGTCGCCACTGATTCCAGAACATTCTCATCCCCCCAAAGGAAAGCCTGTCGCATTAGCAGTCCCTCCCCGTCCCACAGCCCTGGGGGAGCATGTCCGGGAGATTGACCCCTGACCCCTCACCCGGGCTTGCGGCTCTCAGGACCCTCGGTCCCCCTCCTCCCTCCCCCACCCGCACCCCACCCTCGGAGCTGGAACCCCGTCTACGCCCGGCGACGCCCACAGTCCTGACTCCAGCCCGGGCCTCCCCTGAGCCCCAGACTCGGGGTCCAGCTGCCCCTCAACGTCCCCCCGCGGGGGGCTCACGGGGGTCTCGCTCAACACAGCCACGCCGCCCCGCTGCTCCCCGTCCCCCTTCTCCTGAGGCCCAGTCCTTCCGCTGCCTGCTCCCGTCGCAATCCTGAGTCATTCTCCACTCCTCGCGTTTCCTCTCTCCGCCTCCAGTGCGCACAGCCTGTCTGTCCTGACTTCAGATCCTTCCAGAACCGCCCACTTCTCCCTCCTGTGTCTCCTGCTGCCCAGCCCCACTGACCCCCTGGACCAGCTCAGTCCCCGGCTCCCATCCTCGCCCCCACGGTCTGTCCTCCCCGCAGCCCCCACCAGAGGGCGCCCGTGAGCCCCTGAGTCAGGCCCCCCTCTGCCCGCAGCCCTCTGGGGTGCCCCCTCCCTGGGGGGAGAAGCCTGCGTGCTCGCCTGCTGATCTGCACCCCACCTGCCACCCCAAGTCGTCTCCAGGCTCTCACCCCATTTCCCAGACCATTCCCTGCTCCCCGTCCTCGACTGTGAGCCCTTTAGGACGGGGTCTGGTCTGTCCTGGTTCCCACTTGCCACCCAGGCTGACATCTGGTGTGTGAGTTTCCTGTTGCAGCTGGAACAAATCACCAGAGATTGGGCCTAAAACTACACACATTCATCATCTCACGTTCTGGGGTCAGGAGTCCTGAATCCACGTGTGAGCAGGGCTGTCCTCCGGAGGCTCCGGGGAGAAGCGTCTCCTGCCTTTTCCAGCTTCTAGAGGCCGTGTCCTGGGCTCGGGGCCCCTTCCTCCGTCTGCACAGCCCGCAGCGCAGCGTCTCCCGTCTCTCTCTGCCTCTCACCCTCCTCCTCCCTCTGATGAGGACCCTCTGATGTCCCTGGGCCCCGGGAATCCAGGGTCATCCCCATCTCAGGGGCATTAACTCAACCCGTTTGCAAAGCCCGTTCGGGGATCAGGACATGGACGTCTCTGGGGGACGTATCTGCCCACCTCACTCGTGCCCAGATCCGGGCGAGGTTCCAAGGCTGGGGGAGGCCGGCGCCGGCCCAGAGCTTCCCGCGGGGCGCAGGACTGGAGGGAGGGTCCTGCGAGACCACGCTGGCCGCCTCTCGCCTCTGTCCACAGCAGGAAGCTCTCGGGAGCTGGGGCCCCGGCCCTGCCTGGGGGTGCAGACAGGAGCTGGGGGCTGTCCTCGGCGGGGCCCCTGGCCACCTGCCGCTGACCCAGCCGCCCCGGCCCTGCCCACGATGTGAACCGCCCTTGCCCGGCGGCCCTCCGCGTGGGCTGCACTGCTCCCCCTCACTGGGTGCCCTGATTTCTCTGGGACCCGGGTCTCCTGGTGAAGCTGTCCCCCTGCCCGCGAGGAACACGGCCCTGTGTCCTTCAGGGTCCCTCAGTCGTCTGTGACCAAGGCCCTGATGTCTTTGGGGTAAACAGCGGCTCAGAGTCGGGGGGCAGTCGCTCCCCGCTGCTGCTCCCCCTCTGCCGGGCAGCTCCAGGCCCCAGGCCGTGGCCTTGGGGGGCACCTAGTGTCCAGCCCCCTGCCGTCTCGGCCCGTCCCGTCTCCGTGACCCTGGTTCCCACGAGAGGCCCCGCCCCTCCCCAGGGGCCCAGGGTGCCGAGTGGGGCTGTGGGGGCTGCACCTGTGTGTGAAGGAGGCGGGGCGCTGGCCCGTGCATCCTCGGAGCCCCCGGCACCAGCGGGCAGGGCCCTGCAGCCTGGGCCCCTGCTGCCCCAGGTCTGAAGTCTCTCCCTTCTCTCCCTCAGGTTTGGCCCAGAAAAAGGCGGCCCCGACGGAGGTGAGTGTCCCCTGGCCCCCACCCTGACCCACCTCCTCCCAGAAGATGATGGGAGGATGTCCAGGCCGCAGGGCAGTGGGGAGCCAGCGAGGGCTGCGGAGCAGGGGCGGCACCACCTGTTTCCTGGGGAGAGCCTGCCCCCTGGTGGCCCCTGGGCAGAACAGACAGGGGCCAGGCTGAGCCGCAGGGCAGGTGGGGGCATTGGGGGGGCTGCCTGGAGCCCCGAGTGCGGGCAGCATGGGTCGGGCGGGTCTGACCCACGGGGGCCTTTTGCATGTTGGCGGGTGCACAGCGGGTGGCTCTTCAGTGTCAGGACGGTAGAGCCCCAGGGGGCACCCGGCTCCTGTCTGCTCGGCCTGCTCTCCGAGCCCCACGCCCTTCCCCCAGCCTCCCCTGCACACTCGCCACGGCTGGTGGCTCCCACGCGGGTCTGCTGGGATGGCCTGTGTCACACCCGCCACTGCTGTGCCGTTAGAGCCGGGCCTGCTCCCCAGCCCCTGGGACCTTGTCCCTCGAGGAGGAGACCTTGTTCCAGCCCAGGGGGTCTCACCCGTGGGGTCCTGCCCCCAGGGGATGCTGGGCACGTCTGGGGACATCTGTGATTGTCACACTGGGGGAGCTCCTGCATCAAGTGGGTGGGGCCAGGGATGCTGCCCTGCCCCCACAGCGCCCAGGATGGTCCCCCACAGTGATGGCCTGGCCCCGATGTCCACAGGGCAGGGGGGACCCTGAAATGAGGGCTGTGCTCCCCACGGGCAGGTGGGCCGCGGCCGCCCGTCTTCCGCCTTCCTCGAGGAGCCGGAGTCCTGTCTGGGGTGGGCCCCTCTGGATGTGGGTGCTGCCCCCCAGGGGAGGCCCGGGCGCCCCAGAGCCCACCTGCACCAGCCCCAGGCTCTGGGTGGGCGCGGTGACTGAGCCCCTCTCTGGCTGGGGTTTCCAGAGCCTTCCGGCCCTGGTGTGGCGCCTCCCGCTGACGTGCCACCTCCTGTCCCCTCTCCTCCAGGCCCCGCTGGTGACCGGACAGCCGGGCCCCGGCCATGGCAAGAAGCTCGGCCACCGCGGTGTGGACGCGTCCGGCGAGACCACCTACAAGAAGGTCCTCCTCTGCCCTGAGCCGCTGGGGGCGAGTTGGGGGGGGCGCCCAGCGGTTTCGGGGGCCCATCTGCCCCCCGATGGGGTCCACTGAAGGTCGGGCGTGGACCGTGGTCACGTGGTGGAGGCAGACGCTCTAGTTACGGGCTCTCCGTGCAGGACTCGGTCCCTGCAGCCGGTCATCCCCGTGGGCAGCCAGGCGACCTGCTCCAGGAGGGGCCTCTAGCGCCCTAGAGAGAGGGGCGACTGCAGCCCCTCCCCTCCCCTCCCGAGGGAAGCGGGGCTGAGCTGAGGCGGTGACAGGGCACCCTGAGGCCAGCGCAGTGGCAGGGAGCCCAGGCCCCCCCCCGCTGGCGGCCCGCCCGGCCTCGGATGCTCCTTCCTGGTCTGACAGCTCTGCTGAGAGGTGGGGCGCACGTGAGAGTCAGCCCTCTGAAGTGTGTGGTTGGATGGTTACTAGTGTGTTCACAGGGTTGTGCAGCCATCACCACGGTTTAATTCCAGAACATTCCACCTCCCTAAAAAGCAACCCCTCCCCGTCAGCAGTCACCCCATCCCCTCCCCAGCCCCTGACAACCACGAACCCACTCTCTGTGGATCTGCCTGTTCTGGACATTTCACATCAATGGGATCACACACCGTGTGGCCTTCTGTGTCTGGTTCTCTCACTGAGCATCGTGTGTTCAGGGTCCATCCACGGTGTGGCTGTGTCAGGGCCTCACTCCTCTTCATGGCTGCGTCATACTCCAGTGGGTGGGTGGACACGTGTGGATCCATCATCCGCTAACGGGCACTTTAGTTGTCTCCACCTTTGGCGACTATGAATCCTGCTGTATGCACGTTCATGTACAAGCTTTTGTGTGGACACATGTTTTGATTTCTCTTGGGCACACACCTAGGAGTGGATGTGTGGGTCAGAGGGAAACTCCATGTTTAACCATCTGAGGACCCTCTAGACTGTTTCTACAGCAGCTGCACCATTTCATTCCCAGCAGCCGTCACGGGGGTTCCATTTTCTCCCCGTCCTCGCCGACACTTGTCACGTCTGTCTTTCCGATCATTTCCATCCTCGTGGCTGTGAGGCGTCTCTCTGGTTTTGATTTGCGTTTTCCGGGTGACTGCTGGTGTCGAGCACCTTCTCCCATGCTCGCTGGCCGTCTGTGTGTCTCCCTGGGGAACGTGTGTCCAGTCGTGGCCTCTGGAAGGAGCTGATCACCGAGGGCAGAACCGGCCCTCCCGGGGGGTCCCGGAGGAGAGGCCAGGGACCTGGGGGCCTATGCACACAGCCCCAGGAGGGCCAGTGCTGTCGTCCTGTCTGTAGGTGGGGAAACCGAGGCACGGAGAGCCTGTATCACTCGCCCATTGTGACAGTGCGATCACCTAGAGAGCAGGTAGAAGAACCTGGGTCTGTGGAAGTGAAGTTCGGGTGTCACTCTATAAATTGTGCCTCCTCCTCCCCCCAAAAGGAACCCTAGATAGAGCCCTGCCGAGTTGGGCAGTTTTGAGATGTTGGAACCTTCTAGAACCTTGATGAAAACAGGCCTGGGGCCACACCAGGTGGTGTTGGAGTCTCAGCCTGGCCACCTGCTTGCCGCGAGGTCCTGCAGGCTGGGTGCCGAGCGGAGGCCAGCGGGGCTGTGACAGCTGCTGGACAGGCGCCCCGCAGCCAGGCGGCGGCGGTGGGAGCCAGGTCAAGCTGCGGGCTGGATGTCCACCACTGTCCGCCCTGTGCCAGGGGCTTCTCCTTCTGCCTCCCCCTGGGGGCCAACGGGTGGGGCGGGGGTCCGCCCAGGGGTCCTGATGCGGCTGGGTTTCCCGCAGACCACGTCTTCCACCCTGAAGGGGGCCATCCAGCTGGGCATCGGCTACACCGTGGGCAACCTGAGCTCCAAGCCGGAGCGCGATGTGCTCATGCAGGACTTCTACGTCGTGGAGAGCATCTTCTTCCCCAGGTGGGCCTGGGGCCCTGCTCGCAGAGCAGCCCCGACGCCTTTGACAGCTCGCCCCACAGACACACTGTCAGGATACCAGAGAGCCTTGTCTGCTCCCTGAGCTCCCTTCTCTGCTGAAAATCACTCGGGGCCTCAGACCCTGTATCAGTCAGGATGTTAGTTTGGGAGTGGATCAGAGAGACGCAATATAAAAGTGGTTTAAAAAAACAGAGAAAGAAAAGATAGTAGTTTGTCTTTCTCTCTCACACAGAAAACTAATGGGCAATCCGTGGTCAGGTGGCTCCACAATGTTGGGGTCCCGGGTTGTTTCTGGTTTCTCTGCCATCCTCGATGTGCAGGATGGCTGCCCGAGCTCCTGCCATCATGCCTACATTCCAACAGCAGGAAGGAGGAGGAGAAAGGGAGCACATGCTCCTTTCCTTTAAGGGCACAGCCAGGAAATGACACTCAGCGTTTCTGGTCCACTCACAGCTCATTGGCCGAGTGCAATCATGGTCTGGCTGCAGGGGAGCCCGCGCAGTGTGGTCTTATTCTGGGCGGCCATGTGCCCGGCCGACACTGCAGCCTCTGTTGCTAATGAAGGAAGAGAGAGTGGATGCTGGCGGGCAGCCCGAGACTGGCCGTGACCCCTTTGTCCTGTCAGGAGCCCCGTGTGGGGGGCTGTTTTGGGAAGCCTTGGCGCTCGGCAGCTGGGCGCACCGTCATGGGCCTGGGGCGGGGGAGCCATCGGGGTCGTGGGGAACGGGGAGGGCGCCCGCAGAGCCGCCGTCCCTCACCGGCGTGCCCTCCCTCCGCAGTGAAGGCAGCAACCTCACGCCCGCCCACCACTTCCAGGACTTCCGCTTCAAGACCTACGCGCCCGTCGCCTTCCGCTACTTCCGGGAGCTCTTTGGGATCCGGCCCGACGACTACTTGGTGAGTGCGCCAGTCGGCCGCTGCCACGTGACAGGTCACCGCGGGCGTAGCGGCTAAGAACACCGCCCGGCTGTCACTGCGCGGGCCCCTGGGTCGGGAGTCGGGCTGCGGCTGAGTGGGTTCCTGGCGCAGGTGGTGGGTGAGGGGTGGGCTGCGGTCTCACGTGAGGCTGGACCGGGGCCGGGCAGCTCCCGCGCTCACGTCCCTGGAGGACGCGGTCCCTTGCTGGCTGTCGGCCGGGCTGTTCCTTCCAGGCCGGGGGAGAGGCTGCCAGCAGGGCCACTGTGTCCCGCAAGCTCGTCACGGAGGGGACTGTCCCGTCACCCGGGCCACGTTTGTGGTTAGAAGCGCTTCACGGGTCACATGTAATCGATAGATCTGGACGTGACGGTCCCACCGTCTGCCGTCCCGGGGTCCTGCTGGCTCCCCGTGTGGTTGGGGGTCCTAGACTGTAGGCTCCAAGTCCCCCTTCTTGCTCGGCGGGAAGCCTGTGCCCTCGGCCGGGGCCGCGTCTGCATCCTTCCGGAGAGAACCGGTGTTCGCTCCAGCCAGGGCGTGGGTGACCCCAGGTTCTCAGCTCTGTTCGGTGCCCAGAAGTCACGGCGCCCCCTGCCAAGGCCACACCTGGGCCTCGGACCGTGGCGTCCGTGTCGCACCGTCCAGCGCGTGGCTGTCCCCCTCCTGTCCCATCGAAGCCCCGAGCAGACGTCCCCTTTGGTCCCACAGGCCCCGCAGAGCAGGGACGAGGGTTGTGCGCAGCCCGGTGGTTTTGCGGTGGAAACGGCCCCTGGTCCCCAGGTTCCAGGCCGTCGTGTTCCCCCCACGGTGTGTGTACAGTTGCAGGAAGACGGCCTCGGCGTCCGTCAGTGGGGAGTGGACAGATGAGATGTGCGTCCATGGAGTGGGCACGTGGGGACGGCTGGGGTCTCGTCTCGAACCTGATGAGAGCAAGTGCGGGGACCCCAGGGGTGTGGGGCGACCCCATGGTGTCTGGACAGCTGGCCCCGCCTTGGTGACCTTCGCCCTTCGTCGTCTCTGCTCGTCCCGAGGGGGACAGTTCCCGTTCGTCCCCAGGGCGAGTGGGCAGCAGCCCTTTGGCCTCCGACACAGGCCGCGGGGCCGGACGTGGACCCCATCCGGGGACCCCATGGCCCCCTTCCCGCTGTCTGTCGGGGGGCGTTGGCATAGGCCGCCGGGCGCTCTGGCTGACCGAAAACTCGTTGGAAGGTTCTGGGGCATTCCTGCGTGGGAGGGGGCAGAGGAGCAGACCTGGGCATGGGAGGGGGCCGCAGACAGGGCCTCGGGGAGCCCGGGGGCCGCACTGAGGAAATGGGGTGCCCAGACGCTGTGAACCGCAGAACAGAGCCCAGCCGGGCTGCTGCCGGCTCCCCGAATCCAGGGTGGGCACCCGTGCCCTATCCCTGTGGGGTCTGCCTCTCCTGCGGCCACGTGGCCACAACGTGCTGTTGTCACGTCCGCGTCTGCCTGTCTGTCTGTCTCCCTCCTCTCTGGTCGCTTGTTCCAGCCCCTGTCTCAGCTGGGGTACGGTTAAGCCAAGTGGCCTTAAGCTAGTTGCCTCAAGTCCCCGTGCCTCAGTTTCCCCCTCTGTAAAGAGTACAAACCCTCACAGGCTGACCGAACGAGGCCCCGTGAAACCGAGAGGCCCTCATGCAGTGTGGCAGGGGTAGGGGGGGGCTCAGGCACGGCGGGATCAGGCGCCCGGATGGCGTCACCAGCCCCCACTTCTCGGCTCTGCTCCCTCGGGGCTCCTCTCTCTCCAGCGGGGTCCCTGTGGGCCACAGTCACGGCCCGGCCCCTGGCCCCACCTCGTCATGGGAAAGTGCCCCCCCGGCACCAGCCTGGGCCTGAGTTACGAGGGGCTCCTTCCCTCTGCCGTCGGTGAGACCCCTGGGCCGTCCTGCCGCGAAGTGGCATTTAACTTCGGCTCAGGACGGCAGTGCGTGAGGAGGGAGATGGGGGCCCGTTCCTGAATCGGGGCGCTTGTGTGCAGACTCGGGCCACAGGCAGCCCCCCCGGGCTCTGGCGGAGAAGGGGGCACCCCAGGGGTCGTGTGCCGTGACCCCGTCCTGGCTCAGAAATCCCTGCGTGTCGCCCGCCTCCCTCTCGAGTTGCTCAGTCCCCACCACGCCGTTCCTGGAAGACAGCTGCTGTTAGCCATTTGGTTCCAGAACTTTCTCTGCTCCTAGATTTATTTGTACAAAGCTGAGCACACATCTTATGCTGTGTTCTTTTTTTTTTTTTTTTTAAAGATTTTATTTATTTATTTTTTCCCCAAAGCCCCAGTAGATAGTTGTATGTCATAGCTGCACATCCTTCTAGTTGCTGTATGTGGGACGCGGCCTCAGCATGGCCAGAGAAGCGGTGCCTTGGTGCGTGCCCGGGATCCGAACCCGGGCCGCCAGCAGCGGAGTGCACGCGCTTAACCGCCAAGCCACGGGGCCAGCCCTCTGCTGTGTTCTTCACTGAGAACATCCCTCCTCTTAGCAGCTTGGATTTGCTGTTGTTTGTGCCTGTTGGGGGGACGTTTAGGCTGTTTGCGGTCTCCCTGTTCGAGGTGACCAATGGTGGCCGTGGGCTCTGCGGGGCCGGGGCTGCCTGCCTGGCGGCCCAGAAGGGTCCCTCTGTGCCCTGCCCTGCTGTCCGTCTCCGGGAGAGGGAGACGGCAGTGGGGGGAGCTGGGCGTGGGCCCGTTTCTGTGGATATTTGTGGCTCGTGGCTGTGGGCGAGCGGGGATGGACGGATGGCTGTGTTGGCGACGGCTGCAGCGTGGACCGTCTTGCCTTCTGCTTACACCCCGAGCCAGGCCCCCACCACCAGGTGCCCCAGGCAGCCTCCCAGCCTCGCCCCACAGTCCAGAGGGTGCCTCTTAAGGCACAGATGGCATGGCGTCCCTCCCTGGTGCAAACCTCCTCGTGGCGTGTCCTTAGCCTGGCCCACGGGCCTCTGTGATGTGACCTCCACCTTTCCTGAGCTCAGTGGCCGGCCTGTTCCCCCCTTGCTCAGTCCCCTCCAGCCGCCCCGGCCTCCTCCCTGTCCTCCAGCCAGGCACGCCCCTGCCCCAGGGCCTTTGTATGGGCCCTTCACATTCCTTTGCCTGGGTGTCAGCTCCTCAGAGGGCACGTCCTTCCCTGGTCTCTGTCACTGTGGCCGCCTCCTTCACGCCCTGCCCTTTGACCCTTTCCTTCGCATCCTCCATCACACCTGACACGCTGTGTGTTTCCCTTTGGCCTCAACTAGAAGGTCAGCCGCACGACCAGGGATCCAGCCCGTTCTGTTGCTGCTGTGTCCCCAGTGCCCGGAACGGGCCGGGGCTGTCCAGGTGCCCGGGCCCATGGCGGGCAGGACTGACTGGGTCCCGCCACGGCTCCTGGGAAGTGCCTGAAGCGTCCATGCGGGTCACTCGGGTGGCAGCACTTGGGGGTTGTTAGCCAGCGTAACCGGCCCCCTCCGTGGGTGGGGGCAATCACACCGCTGGTTCGGGCCCCCCCATGGCCGAGGTCAGGTGCCCGCAGACCAGGGGGTGCATGCGAACGTGCCTGGGTGTCAGGTGGCACCAGGGACGTGTCAGGGCTGTTGGCCAAGGACCCAGGAGGGGTCCCGTCCTCCCTTGGGCTGAGCCCGCCCTGTGGTGTCCTGGAGAAGTAACACGGGAGTGGAGGCGGCGGGGAGCGTGACGGTGATTATCCGTATCGGTCAGCACAGGCCAGGTTATGCCACGTGACAAACATCCCCGGCATCGAGCGGCTTAAAACAACGGCTTGGTTTTGCTCACACTTTGCGTCCACCGTGGGCTGGATGTCACTGTCACCAGGGACCCAGGCTGACAGAGTCGCTCCCTGCACAGTGTTGCCAGTCTCCTGGCAGAGGGAGCATTCTGGATGGTCTCACAGCAGCATTTAAATTCTCCAGCCTGGAGATGACCCGTCCATTCTGCTCACTGGCCTGCTCACTGCTCACTGCTTGTCACACGGCCCCACCCAGCCCCAAAGAGGCTGGCAGTGCACGGCCTGGAAGATGCAGAGCTGGGATCCAGGGCTGGCAGTTGACGGGCTCTGAGGATCCCTGGGAGTGGGCTCTAGCCTGTGAGCCTGGCTTCTAGTGCCTTGTGGACAGAGGATAGCTTTTGGCTCAGGAGACTGGACGTCCGGGGCCGCTCTGGCTTCAGGCATAGCTGGATCCAGGAGCTGAGCCAAGGGCAACAGAGTTCTATATGTGCCTCTGTTTTTCTCTGCGGGTTGGAGAGATGGCCCCTGGGGGCCTGTGCTCCCAGCTCTGCCTCCTGGCATCCACGGTCTCATCATTGAAGGGTCCAGTTCAGCCCTGCTCAGGACACGTTTCTGAGCCAGTCGCTGTGTGGGGGAACGCAGTCCTCCATGTGGCCGGGCCTGTAGCTTCTTGAGTCCTGCCAGCCTGGGAGGCCATGAGCTCCACTCCCCTGGGGCACAGGTGGGGGCCCTCCTGCCCGAGGTCACCGGCTGGTCGGCACCAGGGCGCGGCAGATGCAGGTGCTGTTGTCCCGTGGTCAGCGCTGTCACGGGCGTCTGGGCAGCAGCCGTGTCACACGTTTTTGCCCTTCAAGAAGGTGCCTGTGGTCCCTGGAGGGGTCACGCTTCTGTCGGGGGCCTGCCCACCCACAGGCCCCTGACGACACGGGCAGGCTCCGGAATCCCCACGGCACCACGACCTGCCAGGCCTGTTCATTCAGCAGATGTGTGCTCAGCGTTCACCCTGCTGGGGGCCTGACGCTCGGCCCCCTGTGGCCTCGTCCACGTATACCAGTGGTACTCAGTTAGAATTTGGGGGTGCAAGGGACAGAAAGCTTGACCCAAACAGCCTTAACCCCAAAAGGTATCCCATTGGCTTGTGAGCTGAAGAGGCCCAGGGAGAGCGGCCTGCAGTCCTCGGTTTTCACTCATTTCCTTAACAAACTGAGCACCTACTGTGTGCTGAGCATTGTCGTAGCTGCCGGAGACCCCTCAGTGAACAAAGTCACGTAAAAATCCCTGCCTCCGTGGAACTTACCGTCTAATGGCGGGAGGGAACGTGTGGGATAATGGGCAGCAAACATGGAGGTGAAACAGATGTCAGTGGGAAGAGCCAGGGGCTGGGCTGTGCCAGGAGCCGGAGTGCGGGCTGCCCATCAGGGGTGCAGCTTTCATCTCTCTTTCTCATCTTGGTGCATGGCTTCCATCCCGAAGGTCACCTCATGGTCCAAGGTGGCTGCTGGGGTTCCAGCCATCACATCAGCATTCCAGATGGGAAATAGGCGGGAAGGAGAAGGGCACAAACAGAAGGTGCACCAGCTTCTGTCACATAGTTAGGGAGCCTTTCCCCAAGTCCCACTCAGCAGCTTCTGCTTACAGCTCCCTGGCCAGAGCAGACTGTCGTGGCCATGCCTAGCTGCAAGGGAGGCTGGGCAGTGAGTCTTGGCCAGGCGCGTCGGCGCCCTGCTGCCACAGGAGAGGGAGTACACCGCGGTAGACCAGCACTCAGGCTGCGGGGTTAGTCTGGGTTCGAATCCTTGCTGTGTGGCCTCAGGCAAGTCAGTCCCCCTCTCTGAGCCGCAGTTTCCTCCTCTGTAAAATGGAGCTGTCAGTGAGCAGTTCCGGGTTGTCCCCTGGCTCCTGGGCCTCTGGGGGTCGGTGAGCTGCCCATCCACTGACCACGCCCCCCTTCCAGTACTCGCTGTGCAACGAGCCACTGATCGAGCTGTCCAACCCCGGTGCCAGCGGCTCCCTCTTCTACGTCACCAGCGACGACGAGTTCATCATCAAGACGGTGATGCACAAGGAGGCCGAGTTCCTACAGAAGCTGCTGCCCGGCTACTACATGGTAGGGAGCGTGGCTTTCCAGAAGGTTCCGTGGGGTGGGGGGGGCACTGCCCCAGGCTTCCCTCCAGCCGCATCCCGCCTCCCAAACCTCACGCCCTCCTCCCCTGCCTCCGGCCCCCCGCGCAGCAATCCGCTCTGCCCCAGCCCCTGTGCCTGACGCAGGAGCCAGCAGCTGCAGGGCTTGGCTGATGGGGCCCGAGTCCCCAGGGCAGCACCACCGTGACGAGCCTCCCTGGGTCACTGTGCCCCACCCTCTGGTCCCCCTCAGGCGGCCCCCCGCATGAGGCGAGCGGGAATTACACTCTGGGCCCTGCAGGCCACCCCGGGCTGTGTGGGAGCCCCGGTTCCGCCTGACTCCCCAGCCCCCGCCCTACCGCTGCCCCCAAGTCGCAGGTCCCAGAGTGGTGGCTCGTGAGCCGCGTGTCTCCGCGGCCGTGACTCAGGCGCCAGGGAGGAGGGGCCGGGCCACCAGCTGGCTCCTCACGAAGGACCGGCTGCTGGGGACACTCCCCCTTCTGCGTGTGACTCAGCCCCGAGAGGGCACATCGGGCCTGGGCAGTGGCGGGGGGGCAGCAGGAGCCTCAGGCGTCCGTCCCCCAGCCGGGGGTCCCCATGCGCAGACGGGTTGGGCTCCCCGAGTGCTGCCCACTGTCCAGAGCCAACCTGGCGGGTGTGGGGACGGCCCCCGGGGCCCTGCGCAGGCGTGACCCGCCTCCCCTGGGCGTCCTTCATCCGCTGCAGAGGGTGCCTGGGTGGGGCCCCGGCTCCCCAGATGGGGGGGGCAGACTCTCCGTGAAGAGCCCGGTAGTGTTTTCAGCTTTGTGAGCCGCCAGCCTGTCTACACAGCTCGGCTCTGCCGGTGTGGCGGGAAAGCCGTGTAGACGGCGCGTGAGTGGCCGGGCACCAGCAAAACCTCATTTACTGACACGGAAGAGTGAATTTTGTGTAATTTTCACGTGTCACAAAATGCTGCTGTTCTGTTTGGTGTTTTTCAACTTTTTAACGTAGAGCTGCCCTTAGCTGGCGGCTGTGTGAGAACGCTGCCCTGGATCGGGCCCTGGGCCGGAGTTTGCTGACCCCCCACCCTCCACCCTGGGTGCGCCTGGAGGCCGTGCCCCCTGTGCCCCCTGGGTCTGACCTGGCCGGGCGCTGGCCCGGCCCCCTGGGAGCGTCCCTCGGGGTCTTCACTGGGAGGCGGGCTCTCGCTGGGCCAGGCCCCAGTCCGGGGACGGAGAATTAAACAGGCCGGTGTGACCCGTGTGAAGTCGGGGTGCTGGGGCGCAGAGTCAGGGGCAGCCCGGGAGCGAGGTGGTCAGGGAGGGCTTCCTGAGGAGGCGGCTGCAGAGGCCTGCGGGCGGGAAGGCCCCCCCCACCGGGCGCTCGCCACCCCCTCCCCCCAGAACCTCAACCAGAACCCGCGGACGCTGCTGCCCAAGTTCTACGGGCTGTACTGCGTGCAGTCGGGGGGCAAGAACATCCGCGTGGTGGTGATGAACAACGTGCTGCCGCGTGTCGTCAAGATGCACCTCAAGTTCGACCTCAAGGGCTCCACCTACAAGCGGCGGGCCAGCAAGAAAGAGAAGGAGAAGAGCATCCCCACCTACAAGGACCTGGACTTCATCCAGGACATGCCCGAGGGGCTCCTGCTCGACGCCGACACCTTCTCCGCTCTCGTCAAGACGCTGCAGCGGGACTGCCTGGTGAGGCCGCGCCCCGACCCCAGCCGCGCAGAGGAGGAGCCCGGGGTCGGAGAGGCCCCCTTGCCTGGGGCCGAGCGCGGGTGGTTAAGGGTCCCTCGCCTCTTGAGCCTGTTTTCCCATCTGTGAAATGGGGATGCAGCGTGGTCCCTCCAGAGATGAGGCCCGGCAAAGGGCTCCCTACCTGAGGCCGCCAGCCTGGCAGGACCCGGGCTGGGTTCCCTGCTCTGTGCCCCGGCCCCTCAGCCTGCCACCCCTGGCTCCAGACCCCTCTGCAAACTTGACACCGACTCCCAACAAACCGCCCGACGTCTCGGCTCCTGGCGTCCTGGAGCCCGTGTCCCTGTGCCGGGGCCTGCCTGGGGCGGGGGCTGAGGATGGGCGCGTGACCGTAACCGCCCCGCCCTCCAGGTGCTGGAGAGCTTCAAGATCATGGACTACAGCCTGCTGCTGGGAGTGCACAACCTCGACCAGCAGGAGCGCGAGCGGCAGGCCGAGGGTGCGCACAGCACCGCCGACGAGAAGCGGCCGCTGGGCCAGAAGGCGCTCTACTCCACGGCCATGGAGTCCATCCAGGGCGGGGCTGCGCGCGGCGAGGCCATCGACACGGACGACACGTAGGTGGCGCGGGCGGGCCGGGGCCGCTGGCGAGGGGCGAGATGGACACCTGTCTGTGGCGGGTCCTGGTCTGTGGATGGAGCCGCAGTGCCCGCCCCCAGGCCCCGGGAGGGTCAGATGGACGGACGCACGGCCGTGGCATTGCGGTCAGTCAGTGGATGAGGCCACTGGCCATCCAGGCGGGAAGCGCAGGTGCCCCTCCCTCCCGCGGGCCCGCCGTACGGGGCAGAACTAGAAACGCTGACAGACGGCACCAGAGGAGGGGGGACGGCGGGGCCCCGGGAGACCTTGTAGACCAGCACACCCAGCCCAGGACCCACCGCGGGCAGCCACCCCAAGATGAAGGTGCCTGTGACAGTGACGAGGCCACAGGGTTCAGAGGGGAGCGGGTGCCTGGCCGCACCCGCTCAGCTGGTGCCCTGGTCCTGCCCTGGGGGCTCAGGGTCTGGTCAGGGGACAGACACGTGGGGTGTTCCCTCAGCTCTGCGGACATAGGGGCCGGCTCACTCTCTGTGGGGCCGTCCTGGGCGCTGTGCAGGGTTGAGCAGCATCCCTGGCCCCACCACTCGATGCCAGGAGCACCCCCAGTGTGACAGCCACAGACGTCCCCAGACGTTGCCTAGTGTTCCCTGGGGGCGGAGTCGCCCTGGGTGGGAGCTGCTGCTGTAGACAGGTGTCAAGATTGTCCCCTGCTCACCGTGCACTGACCACGCAGGGAGCCTGCTGGACCCTTCATGTCCGTTACCCTGTTCAGTCCTCACGGGGCCATGGAGGAGGGTGGCCCCTATCTTCAGCTGGGGAGACGGAGGCTCAGAGGTGGGGTGGCCGTCTGGGTGCGCAGGCGGCTGGTGGGGCTGAGGCTTGAGCCCGGCCCGGCCCCCGCCCTAGGCCACCAGTTGCAGGGGACAGAGGAGGAGCAGGCCCAGGACCCCATCTGGGGTGGGGGTGGGGGCCTCACGTGCAAAGGCCCCGAGCAGCTGGCCGCATTCTCAGACTGTCTTGGCATTCGTAGGGTCCGCTCGGGGCCCGGCGGGGGACGGCAGGGCGTGCAGGTGAGCTCAGCGTGCCCAGAGTGCCGTGAGCAGAGCCTCGGGGCCTGGGGTCCGGTGGCTTCGGGACAGCGGCTGGATCGTGTGCCCTCACTAACCGCGTGGGCTGGCACAGGCGGGCCTGGGGCTGAGGGAGGCGAGGAACTCCCCAGGCTGCACCTGAGAGCCCTTAGGGCCCGCCTGGGTGTGTGTGTGCACGCGTGTGTGCATGTGTATGTGTTCATGTGAGTGTGCTGTGTGTGCATGCACGTGTGTGCGCCTGTGTGAACCTGGGTCTCAGAGCCGGGACCTCTCTGCAGCCTCTGGCCGCCAGCGTTGACCTTGGGAGGCGGCATCCGCCCAGGACAGCACAGCTGCCGGCCGGGACCCCTCCGCCGGGCCAGCCAAGCTGCCGCCTGTGGGGAGCGTGGGGGTTCCAGGCCCCAGGCCCCCTCGGGCTGCTCCTCCCTCCAGCCCTGTCTCCCCGAGTCCCACGCCAGTCCCGCAGCCCCAGGAGCAGGCCCAGGCCGCCTGCAGCCCCTGCCCCTCTCTCCCCAGGATGGGCGGGATTCCCGCCGTGAACGGCCGCGGGGAGCGCCTGCTGCTGCACATCGGCATCATCGACATCCTGCAGTCCTACAGGTGGGCCCCCCACCCCCAGACCCCAGTCCTACAGGGGGGCCGCCCCCACCCCCACCTCCTGCTTCCAGACTGCAGTCCTACGGGTGGGCCCCCTCCCGCCCCCCCACCGCTTGCCCATGGGAGCAGCTCGCTGGCTGCTTTTAAGGTTTTCTCAGCCTTCCGGAAGGCTCCTGCTGGCCGCCCTCCTCCCGAGCCCCAAAGGGAGGCGTTTGGTCCCTAATCTGGTGGTTCGAGCCCCGGGATTCATCCCAGGGACACGGACACAGGTCACGGCCGGCCTGAGGCCCGGGGGTGGGGGGGGAGGGGTCGCCAGCCTTGTCTGTTGAGCACCTACTGTGTGCAGTTGCTGGCTGTGAGGCGTGACGTCTCTGGAAATTTCCTGGGATGCGCAGAAAGATGCTCACGGTCTCGAGCCTGGACACGAGTGTGGCAAAGCCCAAAGGGCCAGAGACCCGAGCCCGACTGGTAGATTAAAGCCAGGGCGACAGGCACCCTGGGTCCATGCCTGGTCCTTCGTGAGCCTTCAGCGATGAGCAGTTGTCGATCATTGCCGGTTTCTTACTGAGAGAGTGACCTGTGCTGGTTACACATGATCGAGACACGACAGGGCGGCCGTGGACGTGGCAGCCCCCGTGTCCCGTGCACACCCCACCCCCCAGGAAACCTCGTCACCCGCTGGGCGTTGGCGGATTTCTTCTTTGCGTGTCTCTTGTTTCAATGTAAAAACCGGCTCCTGCCCATCAGACTGCTGACACTTCGCGGCCTTTCCCCACCTGAGGGTGGACCTGTCTCCTGCAGGCGTCTCCCTCCTGTTTGGAGTGAGATAGGCAGCTTTCAAAGTGGCAGGCCAGGGTTTCTGCAGAGTTCCCGGGTGGGGCGAGGGGGTGGGCCGGCACGTGGTAGGCAGCCACGAGCTCTTTCTGGGGCAGGGGCATCGTGAGGGGTGTGTGCCAAGGGGAGGATCCTTCCCTCCTGTCGACTCCGGGGGCCAGGAAGGCTGCCTGGAGGAGGCGACGTTCTCCCGAGCCCAGCGTGCTGCGGGGACCACGGTGCAGGGCACTGACTCCAGCAGAGAGGAGCCGGGAGCGGAGAGAGGAAGGGCGGGCTCCGGAGGGTCTGGCTGTCTGTCTTCCTCCCCCAGAGCCGGGGTGGTGGGGCCGCCAGCAGGCGGGGAGGGGAGGGGACGGGGGCGCACGGGAAGAGGGGAGGTGGCCTCTGGCTGACGCAGCAGGTGACCTCAGTTCCTCTAGTCCAGGGCTCCTCCCACTCGATGCCAGGAGCACCCGCAGTCGTGACACAGATGTCCCGAGACGTGGCCCACTGTCCCCCGGGGCAGGATGGCCCCACAGAGACCCCTGGACCCAGGCTGACGTTCTGGGTGTTCTCTCCGCAGGTTCATCAAGAAGCTGGAGCACACCTGGAAGGCTCTCGTCCATGATGGGGTGAGTCCTTCACTCATTCACTCGTTCATTCGTTCCATCCGTCAGCCCATAAACCTCATGACCGTCCCCCTGGGCCAGGCACAGGTGATAGAGCCAAGAGACGTGTGCCCCCTTCCTGGAGTTGCTGTCCAGTGGAGGCAGGCCCGTGACGGGGCAGTCCCAGGCCAAGGGGTCAGGGCCGTGATGGGGGAGCACAGGCAGCCGGAGGAGCCCCAACGAGGGGGTCCCAGCCGTGGGTGAGGGGTACAGAAGGGCTTCCTGGAGGAGGGGCCCCCCAAGCTGAGTTGGAAGGATTCTTGAGGGTAGCCTGACCAGAAGGGTCAGGGATCAGCCAGGCAAAGAACATTCTGGAAACGCACCATGCGGAGGGGGTCTCGGGCACCGGCCACACCCGGGGGCAGCACCATGCAGCTCTGTCCCCAGCTACTCAGAGGGGTGTGGCCGGACTTCTCAGTTGTTTGAGAAAAGTTTGAAACGTGCTTTGTCGTGTGGGCGCTGCCACCGCATGAACGCTGGCTGTGGGTTGTTTCTTTATGTAAGAGACCAGGAGGGCCAACGGCCGGGGCCCGAGGCGGCCCTGCACCCTTGTCCGCTGCGCTGACAGCCGGCTCGGGCCGCGGGTGGATGCCGCTCCTCCCGAGGCCGCTCCAGACCAGTTCTTACTACAGTGCTGGGGGCTGTCTGTGCCCGCAGGCTGTAAACGCAGGATCCCACAGCTCCCCACGCCCCTCAAGGGGGGGTCCGGGGGTCCCAGCGGAGCTTCCGGGATGTGCAGCGAGAAGGTCTGGGTGGCGGCTGGCCCTCTCCTGATGTCATAAACTCACAGCAGACAGGCGAGCTGTCAAGTCCTGATGAGGCCACCGTGACCCCCAAAATAGGATTTGGGTCAGCCAAGGGGTCCCCAGATGTTGATAAAGTCACCCTCCTGGTGTGAGCGATCTGGGGCAGGCAGGTGGCCCTGGGGTGGGGGCCAGGTTCTCCCTGTGTTGCCGCTTAACCCTGGGCGTTGTCCTAACCCTGGCCCAGGGGGGCGGCCCCCACATCGCGCTGCAGCCCGAAGGCGGGCAGAGGAGCTGGGGGCGCCCCTCCCTCCAAGGGCAGAAGGACTGTCTCGCTGTCTTGGCTCCCAGGCCACTGGCCAGAGCGGGGTCATGTGGCCACGCCTCCTCGCAGGGGAGGATGGGAAATGTAGTTTCAGTTCTGGGAGGCCATGTGTCCCTATGGGTTCTGTTACGTTACAGCAGGGGGGACACTGGGCCATGTCTGGGGACATCTCTGGCTGTCACACTGGGGGCGCTCATGCCATCAAGTGGGTGGGGCCCAGGGAGGCTGTTCAAACCCCCAGAGCGCCCAGGACCGCCTCCCACAGAGTACGATCTACGGGCACTGG